CCCAAAAAACCCCAAGCGGCATGTTACAAGTGAATCCGAGAGATTTTTAAAAAAGTCGTCCGCCATATTGGATCCGCCATTTTGAATTTCAAAATTCGGACTTCATATTCGTAATCGGCAATCCTAAAAACTCCCAAATGGATTGTTACATTCAAATCCAAGCGGTTTTTAAAAAAGTCGTCCGCCATATTGAATCCGCCATTTTGAATTTTGAATATCTGTGGTATTTATAATCAGAGTCTTTAGAAAACCTTCGAGCACTAAATTCTTTGTGATTTTATCCGTTTAAGAAGTGTTTCACTCTTTTTGCAAAAGTTTTATTGATGTTATACGATGAGACTTCACATATAAAGTGTTACTTTCAGCCTCCTGTATCTCTGAATTGGTGGCTAGGCTCAAGTTAAAACTTTTATGAAATTAATGTCCCTTCATATAGAGTACTTTGGCGTATGATTCAGTTAAAAATTCGAGTATCCAAAAATGGACTAAAAAACAGGTGATTTTAGCGTCACTCTTTATTATTACTTTTAAATTATAATTACCTTTTATTATTTATTTTTATTAATTACTATTCGAATTTTAAATTGTTTTTATAGTTTTTCTTACTCGATCGAGCAGCGCCAAGTGTTTTTACATGAAAAATTTGTCTATTTAAATTAAATTTTTTCATTTTATGCGGTTAACTCTTTAATTTTTTGTGATAACACTTAAATTGAGCAAGGTAACGCAATTTTGTGATAATGTTTTGTATATTATTTTGAAGGAGAATTAAATAACCACTACTTTAGTTGGAAGAGAAAATGTCTTTGTGAACGAATTGTGATATAATAATTTCATTTAAGAGGAATTTAAACCATTTGGATTGTAATAGACAGATCCTTCAATAAGATATACGTATACTTGAGTTTCATTGTATAAAAATTAAAGATAGTACCATTTGGATTAAGTAAACAATAAGGATAGTATCACTTGGGTTTTTATTCTGATAGTAGAATTTAACTTAGCGCCACAGTTGTTGATATCAAATTTTTTATACAAATGATACATATCATTAAAGTTAATATTATTTATTTAATTTGGTATCCGAATTACATGGAATTTAACTTGGCGCCAATTGTTGATATCAAATCTTTTTTACGAATAATACATAAAATTTTGAGGAATTTAACTTTGCGCCAATTTTGTTGATATTAATCTTTTATACGAATGATACATATATCATTAGAGTTAAATAAATAACAAGAGACAGTATCATTTGTGTTTTACTTTTTAATTTGATAGAATTTAACTTGATTGGTTAAGATTGTAGCATCTGGTTATTAAATTAATATTTTCATTTAAGGCCCCTGAGTAGTCGCGGCGGTCATGTTGGAATCGTGACGTCAGAAGCGAGGAATGACACGTTAATTTATGCACGATGCCATTTGTAAACAGAGACAATTTGGATGAAATTAAACGATGGGTTCGCTTTAAAACACTTGTAAAAATCGATGAAAACTGTCCTTTTCTCCCTTGATAGTCAGTAAATGGTCGTAAAAAACTCGTAAAGTGAGCCTATATTCTGGCAGAAACACACGGTTTCATAACTGTTGAAACGAGTGAAATATACACTTTTACATATAAAATTCCAAGATAACTTTAGTTGTCATCGAAAATTACGACTTTGAGAAGTACGAAACAAGTCACATTTTCACAATTAAACAAATAATAACGAAATGGCATTGTGCACAAATTTCGTCGTCAAAACTGGTCAAAATGTCACTTTTCCACGCCTATAAGTTCGGCCATTTATCGTGGTGTGGCGCTGTAACACACATACAAGCACGATCTCATGTCCGTGTACTCGCAGGCGAGCACACGGACATGGGCTCGTGCTTAAGTGTGTGGCTACCGATTTTGCCAGACCGTCGTCTGATACTCTGTCGCCACCGCCAACGCAGAGTTCTTGGCTGAGTAGTCAGGAGCCTTAATACATTAATTTTTTTCGAAGAGTAATAATTTTTTACAGAGAATTAAAGTTGCCATTACTTGGGTTGAAATGAGAAGACCTTCAATAAGAATAACCTTAAAAAAAAATTACAACTACTATTAATTGGGTTGGATAGTTAGTATTATGTACAAAGGACCGGTTTCACCAACTCGATTAAGCCGAATCGGTGATTAACTGTCAACCATAAATGGTCAATTCTACTAAACACAATGAAACCGGCCCAAATGATTCTTTACAAAAAACACGCACGCTTAGCGCTTTTTTTACCTTTTTTTAAAAGGTTTTAAAAAGTTTATATAAATAACGAGAGACAGTACCATGTGTTTTACTTTTTAATTTGATGGAATTTAACTTGATTAGTTAAGATTGTAGTATCTAGGTTTTAATTTTTCATTTTTGATATATTAATTTTTTTCGAAGAGTATTAATTTTTGACAGAGATTAAAGTTGCCATTACTTGGGTTGGAATAAGAAGACCTTCGATAAGAATATCTTTGAAGATATATATTACAACATATAACGTGTGAATTACCGAATGAAAAATCTTCACCAACATTATATAGGCGTATCAATACACATCAACGACATAACGACTATTGTCTTCATTTTGAGAAAAAAGGGGATAAAGCTTATCGTGTATGTCATTTTTCTCAATCTGCCGACACGTTGATTTTGAGATGTTGTAAGTTCGATAGCAGGTAGAAAACAATTGAAACATAAAAGTAGACTTTATGACCTTCGAACAGATGAACAGAATATAAATTATTATAATCGCATCATTTTTACTGTTTGGGAAGGGAATATGGATATACAATTTATTAGTGACAACTCAAAGTTACTAACGTATTATGTTAACAAGTATTTAAATAAAGCAGCAAAATGTGAATTATCTGATGTCTGTCTGGTTCTATCCTTAAGGGGATGCTGGATCGACGGCTAAAGTTGATCGAAGTCGATAGTACAGACTTTTTAAAATTCCAAATTCGATAATAATGACATCTTTCATTCATTTCTTATACTTATTATATATCGTTGTGCCTCGCTCAAATTCATTCATCTGTCCTTATCTAACATATTGCAACGCCATCTCTTAGAAAGAGATCAACTAAAAACTGCTCGGTTTCATGGCTTCACGTCAATTTTATTCGTAGCATACGAACGAAATTTTTGGCGACCTTTTTCTCTTATACTAAAGCTCCTAGCTCATTTCTATAGGCATAGTATTATTCTTCGAGGTTTCCTGTAGGCTGTTGGCTATTTATTTTAAACGGGTAAAATCTGGAACTCTTATATGCAGCACATATTGTGACGAGTTGACTGCAGGAGCCGGTGACAAAACTACAATTTTTAATTTTCTTTCATTTTTCGTATTAAATTGTAGCTGGCAGTCTGTGTTGTTGTCGATACTTTAATTGTGGAAAAGGACTTTTCAATCCATAAACACAATTGACAGAAAAGAGTCTTTAAAAATTAATGGTAAAACAGGACACTCCAGCTCTTCCCCTTAATGCTACAAATTATAAGAGCAAATCATTAGCGAACTATCTAATATTGCTATGGAATATTGCTTTACAACTCACTAAGAAACTCTTGAAGCAGCTGATAAATTGTTATTATTCTTCTACATGGAACTGGTAGAAACACAACTATTAAA